AATAATACGGTAATTAATGTATATGGCAATATCATATCAATAAAGGAAAAACAAGTAAAAATCACAGAAAATGTCATTTATTCTACCTCTACATCATCTACAATGAAAGAGGAGGACTTCAGAGTACTGTTAGTAATGGATGAGTATGCTCTGCATGCTTCAAATGTTTTGAAATGAAGTTTTATTCCCATTGTCCCGAGTAGCCCCGACTGAGGGGGCTACTCGGGACAATCTTTATTTTGCGTCTGGCACCTTACGAATAGCATATGGAATTTTTTTTACAATGCCATTTGATAGCCCTCGCAAAGAGCTATAAAATGAGCCTAAATTTTTTTATGCAATGTTTCATTGTAAGAAGTTATTAACAGTTATTAACAAAAAAACGATCAAATCTGTCCCGAGAAGCCCCGGTTGACGGTATATGGATTTGGTAGGTTTGCATTCTAAAGGCTTTTAAAGAAATATGGCAACATTTTGTGATGTTTCATTGTTGCTGGCGCGTAGTGCGGTGTTTTGAGAGTGACGTAAAGCAAACAGAACTCGAGTTGTGCATACGGTGCATTTTTTATAGCTATTCATTTTTTGCTATGTCCTTAATGTGCTGGAATATACCGCATTTACCCTAGCATAGAGGAAGTTGAGAAATCATATATTTATATAACCAACTCTGAAAAATCCCTGAAAAAAAAATAGAAAAAGCAGATTTCAAAAATGTACTACTTCTATTGAAGTCTGTAGTAGAAACTATTAGCCTTATTAAAAACTTTTGCTTGAAGAAAAGCATGCACTATGCAGACAGGTGTCAGCTTTAAAACTTTATTGACAGAATTTTTGTACCTCAATCCAGAACAGAATGGTGGCCATTTCTGCACAACAGGCACAGGGTAATTATTTATGGACACCCCTCCCCCGGGGCTGGGGGTAATATGGGACCCATCTTGAAATGCATTTACAGTAGAAGTTGTAGAACCTTGGTTAGCAAAGGATCCAGTTAATGAAGAAATTGATTAACATCAGCAAACTTTGATAACATTTATCTTGCTCAGTGAAAAAAAATCACTCCACTATAGATTAATATAGATTTAGCTACTACCATTGGTCATCACAAAATTGTGCAATGAATGTCATAGATAGAATTGTGCCCCGGGCAACATAGAATGAAGATTAATTAACCTAAACAATGATTTATTTCTCCAAAAATATGATGGTTGTCACTAAAATTTTCCTTTATTTTTCAGGTGTTTTTATGATTTTTTTTATTATTTTGAATTCACTTGACCCAATTAAAATGGTGTGAATTTACAAGTCCAGTGATGTAAGCTTTCAGATGCAGAAGAAATGCTATACAGCTGCTGATATGAAGCTTGTAGTGGTGTGTGGACAAGGTTGTTGTCAATGCTCAATGGCATGTCCATGGATACAAGCATGGAAAACATCTACCTTTATGGCCCCGACTAAAGCTTTCCCACCATTTCCAGAACTGCAACATTACCACCAGATAAAAAACCTCCTATTTAATTGGTAACAAAAGCGCATGATCAGGCCACAAGATTCCAATTGTATTTAAAATTGGTCACGTTTGATCCGCTAGATTTTGGAAACGAGTAGGAAAATTCCAATCCTGCTTGGCTACAGTAATATCTCATCAATAATGCAGTAATGTATGTTGTATGAATGTGGTAGTATCATATCAATAAAGGAAAAACGTGTGCAAATCACAAAAACTTGTTTATTCTAGTTTTACATCACCTACGAAGGAAGATGTGGATTTAGGAGTACCTACTGTTAGTAATAGATGAGTACACTCTGCATTCTTCAAATGTTTTAAATTAAGCTTTCTGTCAAGTGTCCTGAATTACCTTGTTCCAAGGGGGAATTTGGGACACTTTTTTTAGTCTGGCACCTTAAAAATAGCATATGAAATTTTTTTCAGAGATGCCATAGAATACGTAGCATTTGCAAAGACCTTTAAAATATGCCCAAACTAGTTTATACAATGTTACATGGTAAGAAGCTATTAACGGAAAACTCTCAAAATTGTGCCTTATTACCCCATTTGTTGGTAATGTATATTTGTTTATTCAACTTGCAAACTAGGAAGTTGTTTCAAGGTCAAGTTGGACTATCCTTATCTAAATATATATCTATTTTCCATCAATTCCTTGTTATTTTGGCCCAATTATGGTATATCATGATTTTTCTTCTCTTTTGGTTCAATAGTATTGAACTAGTTTGAAATTTTGATTAATCAATATGTCATGGTGGTTGGTGGATACAGTCTGATATACAGTTTGCAATTAATGTGTGCTTGAAGAACTGTGTGAATTTTAGAGTGAAGCAATTGCTTATATTCTAGTAATTTACATAGCTTTGAGCCAAAAGCTCCCATGCAGCTTAAATTTTATATGAAAATTAGAATAAATTATTTTGGTAATTTTAATTTAATTAAAATGGTTGTTTACATACGGTATTTCAAATCTGCTTTAATTTATAAAATTTATTTCATTATCTTTGATTTAGATGCATTTGTTATATAAGATATTTTGTCAAGACTAGGTAGGTATTGTAAATTTGCTATTATCCTAATCCTACAAATGTATCATTGATCATCATCAGTTCATTGCTTGGACCACAATTGCCTCTAATTTTATGACTTTATTTAGAGAGAATTTCAATTTTTTATTTTAAAGAGAATTTCAAACCACTGTACCGGTATTGCCTTTGTTCATTTGCTTCATCATGTCTTTTTCATTTTACAGTCATATATTCTTGTTAGTTAGCAAGTTAGCATTTATGTTCATCCCCAGGATTTGAGAGAGAAAATATCATTAAGTTGTGCAAATTCTCACAATGCCCAGCAAGAAGAAATACAACTCGAGATTTCCACCTGTGAGTTTAACTCATTTTTGTAGCATGGACTTGCATCCATCCATTAAATTTTATTATATATCTTGTACGTATATACTCAACCACACTCATGTTAGTGGTTCATTTGTATTGCTTGTAGAATTAATTTGAATGAAAATTTAAATTAATAAATAGTCTAATTTAATTCTTGCCTTAGTCTGCAGCTGTGTATACCTATTGATATTTTTGCCATATATTTGTCAAGTCCTGATTATATGCCTGTTGTCATGTTTATCATGTAGTTTTGTTGCTTGTGTTAAGAATATTACAAATTTTATAAGTCAACATTATCAAGGTTGTTGTGTTGCAGGCACGCATCAAGAAGATTATGCAAATGGATGAGGAAGTGGGAAAGGTTGCCGCCCCTGTTCCGGTCATCATCTATATCCTTTATTGCTAACTTAGCCCCTAATTTACATCACTCAACTAATTTTTCTTTTAATATCTTTGATGACCTTTTTTTCTACCCTATTAACATCACTCTGAGGCACATCCATGAAATTACATAATTAAGTTAATTGATCATATTAAATAGCTTTATAATGGTTAATCTTGCTGGAAGTTTTTTTTTTTAATTTTTAGATCATTTTAAAATATAATTTTTGTAAAACCTACAAAAAAATATTATTGTACTTAGTAAATTGTTCACTGAAAAAAAAATATTTATTTATATGGTTGCCAATAAATATTTACCAATTAATTCTGAGTTTTCTGTAACTCATTCAGTTGCTTGACTAGATTGTGAGTAACTAAAAACTTTATACAGTGTCAAGGATTAAAATAACTTATTGAAGTTAGTCTCTCATAATTATTACTATGAAAGAATTATCTAGTATAAAGTTATCTAGTCCATCTAAGGATGTTCCTTGACTGTGTAACACCTCGGGTTCTAGAGCTTTTTGTTGAAGAGTTCCTGAAGAAAGCAAATGACATGGCCTCCACCACCCAAGTCAGAACCCTTGGGTGCTCCCACCTGTGAGTATAGCACATACTGTTAAAGGGGGTTACTTTGACTCCTGGGGTAAGTTTGACCATTTTATGTTTTTTTAAGCAAAAACCCCCCGAAACTCAAAAACTATTTGACATAGAAAAATTTTGTCAGTGGGCATTAAAGGCCTAATACTGAGGCTACGTAACACAATAGAAAGATTAAAAAAGTTTGCATATCTAATAGGTTAAAAATCAAAAATGTGATCCACAAAAATGAGCTATTATTTAAAGCCTGTCGTAGAACCCCCTCCAATTTTTTTATTTTTTGGTAAAAGAACTCCAGGTTTTTTTGCATTATATATAATAACTCTTCTAGTTACATATGCAAATGTCAAATTTGAGGGAAGTGTCATAGTTTGCAAATGGGGGGTGCCACCTCCCAATAGGGGAACTGTGACCACCTAATGTCAGCCCTGATGGGGTAATATTGACGGGCTTGGAAATTAAGTTAAAATAACCATAGGTCCGTATATAACATATTTTATGTTTGATACACCTATTAATGTTTTTTCTTTATGTTTCAGATTCTACAGAGTCTTATATATGGTAATTTTAGCTTAATTTCCAAGCCAGTCAATATTACCCTGTCAGGGCTGACATTAGGTGGTCACAGTTCTCCCATTGGGGGGCGGTGCCCCCCATTTGCAAACTATGGCACTTCCCTCAAATTTGTCATTTGCATATGTAACTAGAAGAGTTCTACTACAATGTACCAAAACCTGGAGTTATTTTACCAAAAATAAAATTGATTTTACCACCCAGTCAAAGATACCCCAAGAGGGGGGGGTAACAATGACCATCTCTTTTTTTGAAATTACGTCAAAACTATGAGAGGCAGGAGCCAGCAATTTATGGTGAGAGAACCTAAAGTATAGACCTGTATTTTGCATGTTTCAATTTAAGTTTAATTTAGCAAGTAAAAAATGACATCATTTAAAAAAAGTTGTCAAAGTTACCCCCTTATATGGTACCATAAAATGGGGTAACTTTGACCACTTTTTTTCCAAAATGATGCCATTTTTTTACTAGATAAGTTAAACTTAAATTGAAACATGCAAAATACAGGTCTATACTCTAGCTTTACTCACCATAAATTGCTGGCTCCTGCCTCTCATAGTTTTGATGTAATTTTATGTATATTTATGCTGGTATCCATGATGGAACTCTACAAGGTTGGGTAGCAAAAAATATATTTTCTTTACCTTTTCACTGCCTTTTGATACAAATACTTTCATTATTTAACAAAGCAGCCAAGTTTATTCTTTTGGGTTAGCAGCCCAGTTCAAATTTATTGAAAACGAGTGAACACCTATTTTTTTCCATCAAGTTAATTCTTACACAGTTATTTAACAGAACTTTTGATTTTGATGCCAAAACATTTATTTTCAAACATATTTTGTGTATTGATGTTACAGATGGTTAGGTTAGGTAGTAACTTTTTTGGGGGGGATAATGACATCAAATTCCATTTATGTTGAAATGTTTCAAAAATATCATATCTTGTATTTGATTATATATTATATCACCACCATCTTACATTTTCAATTAAAAATAAAGCAATTGTTGTACAATTTGAATGTAACTTCATGTGGAATATAATATGTTTATCAACTCCAACACTCAAGGGGGCATAGAAATTTGAAATGAGCCATGTAATATTGAATTCAAATTTCATATTAAATATATAATGTGGAAATATTCTTCTGTTCAGCTACCACGCTGCGAATAACATCCCTCGCCTTCATTTCCTGCTGGATTTGGTACGTCAGCACAACAACGGTGAAGCAATGCCTGTTGGACTTCTGCCAGGCCCTGAAGACGATGCTGCTACTGTAGATGCTGCTGCTGAGTCACAAGGTTCCTACCAATCCCTTAAAACCTTCACTAAGCAATACTTTGGTCAACATTCAAATTTTGAAACATTATGCAATTACTTGGGATAATTTTCAAAATCACCAACATTATGCAATTACTTCAATATTCACAATTTTATCGTGAAACTTAGTAACAGGATAAAGTCACTTGGTAATTCCAACACTGGTAAAAAATTTTTGCTTTGCTTTCTTCTTCTGTACTGATTTTAAAAGACCTGATGTTAATACCTGAAGTGGCCAATGTATCGAGAGCTTGAATTATACATGAAATATGTCAATTGTACATAAAATCACTCTCAATTCCGAAGACTGCCTTTTCGTTTTATTTAAAATTTTGGGTAAAGTTATCTTATAATTTTGATGTTCAATTGTCTTCTGTACAGGCATTTCTATGCGCTGGTACAAACAGCTCCTACATCTTTGCATGTTCCATCTGCAACTTCTATATTATGATGATAATGCCATCTTGTCGTGGCATGCTCACCTTTAATTACATATGCTTTGTGCTTCAAGTAAATTTATGAAAGAGCAGCACTTTTTCTGATAATTTATATATAGGTATAATTTCATATAAGGACTTAACTTTACTTTATTTCAACTCCTGATACTCTGTTCAGATACAGTGCATTTGTAGCACAAAGTGAAAGTTTTCAGCAAATGACGATTTATGAAAATAATAATTTGTTGCAGACCCTAAGCAATACCCAGTCTTGCCATCAATGATCCCAATATTTTCATCAAATATTCCTAGTTTAGGTCAAATAATTTCCATCGAATATTTCTTGTATGTGTCAAAGAATTTTCAGTATTTCCGTCAAAGATTTCTTGTATGGGTCAATGAATGGCCAGTCTTTCCATCAAATCTTGTATGGGTCAAATAATTTTCAGTATTTCCATCAAATATTTCTTATATGGGTCAAAGAATTTCCAGTATTTCCATCAAATATTTCTTGTATGTGTCAAAAAATTTCCATCAAATATTTCTTCTATGGGTCAAAGAATTTCCAGTATTTCTATCGAATATTTCGTGTACCATGGTATGGGTCAAAGAATTTCCAGTATTCCCATAAAATATTTCTTATATGTGTCAAAAAATTTCCAGTATTCCCATAAAATATTTCTTCTATGTGTCAAATAATTCCCATTATGTCATGAATAATTTGAGTGCATGTATTAATATATTTCAATAATGTCCCCAGGTCGGCTAAGGGTTCGGGGTCGTCCCTTCAAACGCTCTGCCTCCGCCTCCGGCTTTCCTCTCAACAGTTCCCTCTCGCCGCCCACAAAGAGGTATATACATACTGCACAAACACGCCGCATTTATTTTATAGTTTATCCATTATGGAAGTTCAATGCTCAATTGACTGGTTTGATTTAATCTTACAACCTAAATTGTTGGAAGGAGGGGTAACTTTCAAAATTTTCAATACTTACTTAGTTGTGGTGCGGTCTGGTCTATTGTGTTAGGGTGTGAACCACAGAGCATTCATCTATTGTCCTCAACAAAAATCTTATTTTGAATTATGGGTGAATTTCAGATTTCTACTATTTAATCCCTGAAAATAGCCACTGAATAGATATATGTTAGGAGTGATCTTTACGTGCAATTGCAATATGCTACACAAATATGGTGCAAAATGAGTGAATAACTATTTGAATCGAATTAATTGCTTTAATAATTATTGCAAGAAAATGTAGAGTTGATATCGTTGAGCAGAGGACGAGGACGCCCAAGAAAAGAAGTCCTGAGAGAGTTTGCAATGCGTGCTGCCATGGCACGGCCCCCAACAAATATCTGTTTTCCTTCTTGTCCTGGACCCTCTACGCCATCTCTGTCTGCCGCCGAGCCTACCAGCCCGGCAATGTCTTCATCAAGCTGCAAGCTTGGCTCTCCAGCGTCTACTCCAGGCACTCCTACTGGACTCTTCTGCTCAAAAATTCCGGGATCTCTATTAGGCACAGGCTCTCCTTCAATAACAAATAAGGATCCTTTTTCAACCCACGCTTCCGTTCCTGTAACTGCATCATTTTCAACTCCAGGTACCTCACCTGTTCCTGGGGGGATACCGATATCGACTTTCATCACTCCTCCAGTTGACGTGGCCATGCCTTCATGTTCAAATTATGCCTCCATTTCCCCACGTGAGTCGTACAAAGCCATCTCCAGCCCAAGCCCCTTGTCTGGAATTAAAATAGAGTTCGGGGGATCCTCAATCCTGCCTACCCCCTCTTCCCTAACGGGAGTCACGGTTTCTTTTGGCTCTTTGCTGACGTCCCCTGGCACAAGCCCCAACGTCTGTATGTCTGAACCTACCGAGACCAAGATGGCGTCTTCATTAACTGGTACCAGCGTACCAATAAGTAACTTAACATCAACCTCATTGGTTACCAAAGAAGTCAAGAAAAACAAGAAAAAAGGTGCAAGTAACGAAAACTCTGCAAAGAGTGGAAGCAAGAGCGCTGCTGCCTCGGATATATCGCTGCAAAATCCACTTCTGGGCAAAATCAAAATAGAAATGCCAGTCTTCCAAAGCAAGCCGATGGACGTTTCGCGTTCCATCTCCTCTCTTAGCACTCAATGTGGAGTCAATGTCCCGCCTGTCACTTCTGTGTCCGAGCTTAGCAAATCCAACTCTGTCAACGCGAAGAAAGAAAAGGCGCAAAATAACGGACGCGTGCCCGTTATTAAAGCGGTGCCTGGTTCGTCATACTCATACCTACAGTGCTCGAATGTCTTCTCGGCCGTCAAAGCCGAGAACAATTCTGATGAGGATTATGATGATTAGTACAACTTATCTTAGGGGATAATTTTACGACTCGTGCTTGCCAAAAAAATGGATTTTCATTTATGTCTTTAGTTTTATTGCCCTTTTTGGGATAAGATTTTGTAACTAAATCTAGCTAAATAGATTTTCTTTTATGACTGGAGTTTTATTGCCCTTGTATGGAACAAGGATTTATACTGAAGCTAGCTAAGTAAATATCTTGGGTGTTATTGACCTTATCAACCAAATTTTTTTTTTATGACTTGTCTTTTATTGACGATATCCTAGAACATCATTGAATGACTGAGCTAAATAAATGAACTTGAATTTTAATCGCTTTTGTGGTTTCAAATTTCTAACCCCGTTATCTTGCATTCTGTGGGGCTCAGATTCTTCCTTTCATTTTTGATGAATATTAATTTTTTTCAACATCTATTTATCTTCCGCTAACATAAGGCCAAAACATTATTGACTGAAATCATAGAAATCCCACGTCAGTCGACACATCTGTTCACTTAATGCTGCTTTTGGAACTCGTATTATTATTGGGTCTGTTCAGACTTGTCAGAACAAGTTTTGAGAGCATTTCATAAGCAACATATTGTTCTTCTTGTTACTTCTTATAGGAGCACTGGAAACTGGTCCATTTAGCCCCTTGCCTAAACAGTTTTTGGTTCACGCCTAACTATCATATAGTAACAATATAAGTATCTAATAATCTGAAAGAAAGCAACATATTGGTATCAAAATTGTACGATTTACGAACAGTAGAGATGTCCGCGGCGTTCATACGGCACGCGTGGAGAGAGTCAGCTGCGTTCATCGAGTAAGCAATAAGCATCTCTAGTGTCGAGTCTCGATTAAACCGTGGAAGTGAGAAGATGTTATGTGTGGTCTGACAGCGTTCTACCGGCAAGCTCAGTATGACGGTCGACGGCACGTGAGCAATCTGTTAAAAGTCAAAACTAAGCAGTCTCAATAATTTTGTCACTTTTTTATTTTTTTATTTAGTCCGTTGATGAGTCGAAAATCTAGGTAGGCTTTGAGTAGTTTTAGAAGAGTAGAATTGACTGTGTTTCCCTTTTTTTATTATTTTCTATTTATTTATTTTTTTTAATAAGCTTGCACTGGTCACAAAAAGGAGAGGAAGAAAAGCAATAGGAAAAGGAGGCAGAAATGAAGAGCTCCAGATGCTCCACTCCAGGGAACGGAGCTGTGACAGGCAAATCTCAGCATCAGAATCGTAAAAGAAATCTAAATGGTCTTTCTGCTGGTGCCGGGTCCCCTAATGATGAATGCCCCCCCCCCAGACTTGTCTTTCTCAGATAGCCCATCAGGTGAGGAAATTCATGTTTCAATTCAAGTTTAATTTAGCTAGTAAGAAAATGGCATCATTTATAAGAAAAAAAGTGGTCTAAGTTACCCCATTTTACGGTACTGTTTCTTTATAATTGAGTACTGTCAAATGGGAAAATGAGGGACAGTCACAGGTGGAATAAATTGGGACAGCAACAGACAACAGTCTTCTGTCATTGTGTAAAAATGTTATATCAGCAAATGAGCAAAAGTAATTAAAATATTGCAAAACTAAAAATAGAGGTTTAAACTTCAACATTTTACTATAATACTATCTATTTAGTATGTGCTAGTTGTACTTTTGTAGCACAGTACATAGTTATAAAGGAAGTTGAGAAATCATATATTTATACACTAGCTCTGAAAAATTCTTGAAAAAATATTGAAAAGCAGATTTAAAAAATATACTCTTATTAAAGTCTGTAGTAAAAAACTATTAGCCTTATTAAAAACTTTTGCTCGAAGAAAAGCATGCGTTATGCTATGCAGACAGCCAACAGGTGTCAGCTTTAAGACTTTATTGACAGAATTTTTGTACCTCAATCCAGAACATAATGGTGGCCATTTCTGCACAACAGGGTAATTATTTATGGACACCCCTCCCCTGAGGATGAGGGTAATATGGAACCCATCTTGAAATGCATTTACAGTAGAAGTTGTAGAACCTTGTGATGCGTTGTGAAAAAAAAGTCGCGCTAATCAAAACTGGCACCGCGTAGATTAAGGGTAGGTGGCAAATTTTTTTTCCGCGTTAATCAAAACCGCGGTATTCAAAACCGTGCTAATCAAGGGATTGCTGTACATATAATATTTTTAGGTTTTATCATTTATAGGCTATTTATTTTCTATAATATAGAGATGTCAGCACTGAAGAATAAGCCTCATGTGGCCTGTTCCCGATCAAAGTGTCAAATCACAGAGTTGTTTGTAATTAATTCTTTTTTAATTTCCTCTTCTACTGAAAATTTAGGCCAATATATTCATTCGTATGTAGGTATGATACTGCATTAATGCTGATCTGTATGAAACTTGATTGGCCTACTTATTGGACTAAAAAAAACTTGAGGATGAGTCTATAAAAATGTCTGCTTAGACATTATGTTGCCAATTCTTGTACTTTTTGTGACTTCTGATCTAAAAACCGGTCCTTTGACTGGATCTTTTCCAAACTGACATTATTTTGAAAAGCTACCAAACTTCCGCAAAGTTTGATGTGGTTCTACGCTTTTTAAGTCTGAACATATATTCCTCCATAGCTTCATCTATTCTGTTCTTGAACACATTCATACTTGGAGCATCAACAATGTAATCATGGAGGCTGTTCCACTTGTCAGTGACTCGAAGTGAGAAGAAGCTTTGTTGTGTCCATGCATTGCAAATTTTTTTAGCTTTCAGCCCAGGTGTTGGTTCTTGTTTAATTTTTTAGCGCATTTTCTCATTTATGGAAAAAATGCACTATTGTGCTTGCCATGTCCGTCTGTCTGTCCGTCCATGACCTCAAATTTTTATCAATGAGAAAATGCGCTATCTGTCACTCGCTGCAGTGAGTACTGAGTTATATTTTTTTTAGATTTTAGTTTGTATACCCTAGTGTTGGTTCTTGTTCCAAATTCTATTCATCTTTATGGGACCTTGTATAAACCATGAGTACACTTGAAAAGGCTTGGAAGCTTCATAATCTTTAGTCTTTCTTTGTAAGACTTACCTACCCTTCAAGCCTGGAGTTATCTTAGTTCCATGTCTTTAAACACTCTCTGCTAAATTTGTTTTCTTCTCAAGTTTTGGTGACCACACATTATTTCTAAACTTAGGTTCAGACGTGCCACAAAGACAAGTAAGAGCTTCATTGCTTCTGCATCTAAATACTCCTAAGAGTGTCTGATCAGTCCAAGAAGTCTATTGGATTTATCAGCTTGTGTTTCAATATGCCTAGAAAATTTCAGCTCCTTGTCAACAAAAACTTGCATTTTTTACGATTTACGAACAGTAGAGATGTCCGCGGCGTTCATACGGCACGCGTCTTCAGATGGTGCTCTGTGAATGTACAGACTGTGAGCTCTAACGATTTTCTTTCGCGTTTAAACATAATATTTTTGAATAATTACTGTTATTCATCCGTTAATTTGATATTGCATCACACTTTTCTGTACAACACGAGTATATTAGCCAAGTGTTTAATTTCAAGAACCTGGCAGGCGGTCTCGCCCCTCTCCTCTCTTTTTATTGACACGGGAAGAGGCAGTAGCCAGTAGGTCCTACCAGGTGTAGCGTGTACGGTGTAGGTAGGAGAAGGCAGGCGTTGCCCAAGAGCCCCTGCGAAGCAGTCAAGAATTAAATCAACAGGAAGCAAAAACTGGCTCTGGTTTGTCACAATTATTGGTTATATTATTATTGTATTTTTTGTGCTGCATTGATTGTATTTGTATTATAATATTCTCCATCAACTCCCACAGTCACAACTGTAGTATATATCTAATCATAATTCATAAGTAATGTAGTTACTACCTACTGTATTAGCATTTTGTGTACCTCTTTTGTAATTTATGCCAATGTAGTCCGCACATTCAACTTGTTTGTTATTATTAATGATTCCAGTTTCGTTTGTTCGTTCATGCCTCATGGAGTCATGGTGACAAGACATGTGGTGCTATTGCTTAACAACCAAAGTTCTCGGTGTTGTAGACAAATCTGAAACCCAGTGCAAATCTATAAATACTACTACTAGTCTACTAGTGCTTACCAAATAAGTGTGAAGATCATTCAAAGGTGAAAGCCTGAAAGGTATCAATAGCAATAGTTGGGAGAGACAGTAAATTATGTGGACTATGGACCGCTACCTTACCTCGCTCAGTTTAATGTGCTGTGGCTCGTCTGCGGCTTGGTCATGCTGGTGTGAAAGCCCACTTGGCCCGCTTCAATTTGGCCAATTCCAGCATCTGCCCCACATGCAACACAGAAGACAAAATTGAGCATTTCATTTTGCACTGTTTGCTATACATCAATCAGAGGAGGGAGTTTCGCTCAAATCTGGAGAACCTTTCACTTCCTTGGAAGTTGAAACCTAATCACAGCTCTGGGAGGGGATGATATTCCCCAAAAAAGGAGAACTGCGGTCATTCATCGCCTGGGACAATACCTGCTAAAATGCAGCATGGTAAACACCCTATGAAAATTATTGGTGCCTAATTCCTTTGTTATTTTCTTCCACACAAAAACCTCTTTGTGAGAGCATGATGAGAAATTCCAAATGAAGTGAAGAGGCAGTTGAGTTGGAGTTTTCAAGAAAAATCAAGTTGTGCTCAGGCTGGGAGGTGTGACTGTTTCACACCTGAAGTCTTGAAATCAAATTTAAAAAAAATAGCAATAGGTATGGCTGAATCATCGTCAGGCCCCAGCCTGACAGAAGAGCTCTTCTCTGAACTCTGAAGCAGGGATGGACACATCTGAGTTTGCCAGCTTCCCTTCCGACTCACCAGTGATAGGAAGACCTGCCAAGATCAAGAAGCCCAGACTTCAATGCCACGTCAATCCTGTTCTTTCATCAACCTTTTCAGAATCTGCCTCAAACAACACCACCCAGTTTGAAACACTGCCTGTCAGTCACTCATCTACCACCTTTCTTCTGCTACGAGAAGATAAAAAAGCCTTGCCATTCAATTTCTATGCCCAAATCTCCAAAAGCTGGCCAGCATTGCAGTTCATCAAACCCGATAATCTCAGCCAAAATATGAAGGGCACCCTAATCACTAGGGAAGTACTGGCCATTGGCCAATAAAGTAAACCAGTTCAACAACTCAGAGCA